CGCCCATCTGATCGGACTTGACTTTGTGCTTAGCGGGTAAATACTAGTGATTGTTTGGCATTGTGATGGAGAACTAGACTCTGCTCGGTGTGTGTATATCTGCTTATCTCGGGCTTCATATCGTTTTGTTTACGTGCCGCAGCAAAGTGTTGCTGTGTAATTGTGAATACACCCTAACCGGTTATTTTGTTATTTGCAATTAAGACTTGGACAATGTGCGACTTCTGGCCATCCTTGTATCCTTAAAAAACTTAAAAACATAAAAAAGGCTCCCTCGTGACGTCATCGCTTGGGTTGTGTTGTTTGCTGATTCTGTTTTTGCTTGTTTCCTTTTGAAGCAAACAAACATTACAAACACACATACATGTGCACATTGTACTCACATAGTAACAAATGACACTTGATGAGTTTGTAGTGCAAACAGAGCATATGCTGGAAATGAAAATGGAAATAGCGAAATGATGTCACTGGCGCACGCCCTGGGAATTCCCTCGCCCCGTCACCTCCCCCACCCACCGCCCGTTTCGCCGGTTGCCACCTTCGCTTTTCCACCTTTTGCGTACACATGCACACCAATGCATATGTTGAGTATGGTTGAATATCGCACTATCCAGTTGGAAATCAATGGCCCGCCGTCTCTTTTCTAATTAGAATTGTCATGCAACGGGGACTGAAATTCCAATTGGACATTGCTCTGAGAAGCAAGTAATTTGCAATTGAATTTTTGGCCACTGAGCCAAAAGCAAGCTGAGCAACAAGTAAACTATTATTTATGGCTAATCTTATCGGATTGCCCACTTAAGCGACCGATTAGAGGTCCATTATCGTCCCGCATCTCCACCCATTGAACTTCGACCGACTGAAGCGAAAAAAAGATTTATATTGAACCAAGCAAATGCTTTTCATTAGATTTCTTGGAAATAAGCAGTTGCAAAATGTTAATGCCTTATAAAAGCGGTACATCATTGAAAATTAAAACTCTTTTTTAATAGATTTTAACAGCTATCAAATTGTATTATATATCAAGAGGGAAATCAAGAAAATTGAAAACCTTTAAGTGTTTAAGGCTTTTATATGATTAACAAAAACTAAAATTTAGTTTTTCTTTGTAACCTATAAAAGTTATAAAAACTCTGTTCCGCTATATCTTACACTTCAGACCTAAAAAGTAATTTAAATCCAATTCATTAAACAGAGCGAACATCATATAGCATGCTTTCAACAATTTTACCCAATTATTCGTTTGTTAATCAAAGTTACGGGCAGACAAATTGTCACCCTCCCCTCGAGTATTCACCCCACCCGCAATTTGAAAGTGCGAACTTGATTACAATGCACTCTCTGCATTCGAATGTCTGGGAGTTCAATTAGCAGACTGCACAAACTCTTAATAGAATGATCAAGTCCAACAACATATTATTATTAGTAATATTTAAATAAGCGATAAGCAGTGGGAACTTTGAGTTTCACTAATCATTCACGAAGCTCTTTTCGGATTGTGCAAAACTGTGTACAAGTAGTTCAATGGTTGCTCATTTTGGTGCAAACGACTGGCATGAACAAACAGCTGCGACCTGTGACTCAATCTGCTTATCAGTTGGTTTTTTCTGTTCATCCATTGCGAGTACTGGTATAAATGTAGTTAACGACCCAGTAAGCTGGTGGGGATCGGCTTTTGGGCTATTCACTCTCCATGGTCAGATGGAGTTTCTTTGTGCCATTATCTGCTCGTAGTTAAGCGAATTAGCTGTCTGAGGCAGAAGCTTGATAAGATAATGAAGTAAATCCCGATTCTGGCCGAGCATATGGCCCTTGAACACTGCTATCCCTATTCCAGCTCGATATATTAACCACATATCTATGTGTTCGTTGCCTTAAAAAGTTTCCATTGTTCGTTGCTGTAAACAGCGAAATGTTTACGACTCGAACAGTAAAGTCGTTTGTTTAAACAGCCTTTTCCAGAATAGCGAAGTATTAGGTTTTCCTCGCATGGAGCAAGACACATTTCCCCAATACATATTAAGTTTTTATTTGCCGACATTTAGCGCACTTTCAAGTGCCTTTGTTTGTTCTGATCCAATGGAAATGATTGCGGTTTCCTACTCATATGTATGCACTTTGGAACCAATTTCTCCGGTTCGAATTTTCCATATTTCGGCGCTGATTTTATGAGTCCGTCCGTCCATCCATGAGTCAGACCCAGGTGTGGACTCGGTCTATCTGGGATGGGACAACCCAATTAATTGCCGGGCTATTAAATTATGTGTAGGCACGGCACAGACACCAGTAAATCGATTGCCCTCAGATGTGTAGAATGCACTACAACTAGGAGTACTATTTTTATTTTATTAATACATGTTTCTAAAGTGGCACCAAAATCAATTGTTATTAGTAGATAAATAATGCTACATAATATGCTATATTATGAGAATTTGTAGTATGAGTACATGAGTAAATCGCTGATTGCTGATGAACCGATTTACATTTACTTAATGCCTCTCAAGTATTCTTTTAAGTACATTTAGAATTTTTAATGCATGTTTTAATTTTTGTTCTCGTTTTAACATTCCAGAGCAGTAACACATGGGCCAGAGCAAAGTGCACAGCTACCCACACCCACAGTTCCAATTCTGATTCCAAGTAGTTGAGCTCCTTCAGGCGTACATTCCTTAGATCCCACGAAATGGCCCAAACCGCATCAGTGGCTCAGGCCATTGGTGGTTACATTTTCGGCATTCTGCAGGCCTGCATTCGATTCGTTTTCCGGCTAATCTATGGCCAAAAGGGCGAGAGTGTTCCCCCGATCACAGATGCCATTCTGTTGGAGTCAGCCACATCGTTGGCGAGGAAAATCCGCAGCCAGGAGGTGAGTGCATGCAGTAGAACATACGTTCTATAAAACACCTAACACACTCTCATTTTGAGTAGCTAAGCAGCGTTCAGGTCCTGGAGTCTTTTATCCGACGCATCAAGGAGGTGAACCCCATTTTAAACTGTGTCGTGGATGAGCGTTATGATCAGGCTCTCAAGGAAGCAGCCGAAGCTGATGCCCTGGTCAAGTCTGGTCAATACAGCACAGAGGAGTTGGCAAAGCAGAAGCCCTTCCTGGGCGTGCCCATCACCACCAAGGATTGCATATCCGTCAAGGGTGCGTAGCTCTCATATGCTTCTTGTAACGAGTACCATTGCTATTGCTCAACCATTTATTTGAATTTAGGCATGCTTCACACAGCTGGACTTTTCGAACGTCGGGATGTGCGTGCTGCGCGGGATGCGGACGCCATGGCTTTGATGCGCAAGGCAGGAGCCATTCCCATCGCCCTCACAAATGTTTCCGAAGTGTGCATGTGGTGGGAGAGCAACAATACGGTGCACGGCAGGACAAGGAATGCCTACGATACCAATCGTATTGTCGGCGGCTCCAGCGGTGGAGAGGGCTGTATACAGTCGGCGGCTGCCTCCGCCTTTGGCCTGGGCTCCGACATTGGCGGCTCCATTCGCATGCCAGCCTTTTTCAATGGCATCTTTGGCCACAAGCCCAGCAAGCTGGTCGTCTCGAATGTGGGCCAGTTCCCAGCGCCCTTCAGTGCAGAGCAGAACTCCTTCCTCGGCCTGGGACCCATGTCTCGATTTGCCGAGGACCTGCGACCCATGTTAAGGATTATGGCGGGCGAGAAGGCTGCCCTGCTTAATCTGGACGAGAATGTCGACCTAACCAAAATTAAGTTCTTCTACCAGGAGTCCGATGGCGGCGGCCGCTTAATTTCCGCCGTTGATCCTGACTTGAGAGAGGTAAAGTAAATTAGTTTGCCCACTATTTAAATCCTGTCAATTATTCTCCTTCTTATTGTAGGCCATGAACCGCGTGGCGCAGCACTTGAGGGAAAAGTTCGGCAATCAAAAGGTAGAACGCATCCAGCTGCCCCACTTCCGTCAGTCGGCGGCCATCTGGTTCGCAAACATGCGCGACGACAGTGGCCATGGATTCGCGTACCAGCTGGGCAACCTGAATCATGACATCAATACGTACCTGGAGCTCTTTAAATGGTTCTTCGGTGCTTCCAAGCACACATTCATTGGTCTTTCAACAGCTATCATGGATAGTGCACAGTGCAAGCATGGATCCCCCAAGTACGATCACCTGGTGCGCAAGCGAAATGAGCTGAGAGCAGAGTTGCAAAGCATGCTGAACGATAACGGAGTGCTCATCTACCCCACGCATCCGACGGTGGCTCCATATCACAATGAGCCCATTACGCGACCCATTAACTTTGCCTACACTGGTATTGTCAATGTGCTGGGCTTCCCGGCCACCGCTGTGCCGCTGGGCAAACTGGGCAGCGAGGGTCTACCGCTGGGCGTCCAGATCATCGCCAACTTCAACCAGGATCGTCTGTGCTTGGCCGTAGCCGAGGAATTGGAGCGAGCCTTTGGCGGATGGGCCAAGCCCGAAGTTCGGCTCTAGGACCAGTCTCAACTAGTTGCATACCTGCAAGTATGCAGTTTAGCTAGCTTTTAGATAGTAGTGGTCAGGTGAACCCACCCAATACTAACTCCCCACCCACCCGAGCATTCGCCTGGCGATGAAAGGTATTCCTTGTGTACTGCAGTGCCTCATTGTAATATCAATTTTCGATGTGGATTTATCTATTTTGTATGTGTTTTTAAACGTAATCTAATCAAAGATCCGTGCGGATCCGTTCCCGTTTTGCATTTATAATAAATAATTGCAACCAAAGTTGCTTTGTTTGTTTTGCAATTTCTGATTTCACGGACGACAGGCGCCTCTTGACAAAACAAATCGGGAAATCAGAATGCTGAATTGGAAGCCAACGCGCTTCGTGGGTATAAAAATCATTCTTTGAAAGACCATAAACGATATGCCGACGCACTGCCTCCATTGTTTTTTGTTTGCTTTTGTTTTTTTACTGCCTGACACTTATGTCCAAATAAACATTCTCATTCGAGAAGGAAAACTTAACCAACTAAAACTAGCAATATCATGGATATCGTATTCACATGTGTATTCCGATGGCCCTCTCTTCTTCCGGCAGAGTTACATTCGTAATTTGGTCACATAAAAACTAGTCAGCTGTGGGCGGAAATCCGCGCCGATCCCCGCCAGGCTCTATCCCTTGCCGCCCAGCGACAGGATGAGTTTCAGCAGCTCCGTGCGCTTCGCCTTCACGGTGTCGATGTGCAGCGAGGGCAGTCCGTCGATTACCTCGTACCTGTTCAGGTAATCGGCTATGTGATCGGTCATGCAGATGACGTGGATTCCGCAATCGTAGCCGTTGGCCTGCTGCAGGCAGCGCATTGGCCGGAATTTGGCCATTCGGGCGCCCAACAGCTCCTTGATCTTGTTCATCAACTCCAAGGAGTTGCCCGTATTGTTGTTCCCGTACGAATCAAAGTGATAGAATGTCTTCTCCGGCCGCGAGAAGACCAACAGTGACCAGTGGGTGCCACCAGCATCGGTGCTCTCGTTGTCATTCAGCGCAAAGAAGATGAAGGGCTTGCCAGTGGTATTGCTCTGGTCGAGGAGCTGCTTTAGCTCCTGGTCACCCATGTACTTCATGCACTGTGTAATCTCCGGCGCGATGAAGTGCAGATCCGAATTCGTCTTGTACTTCATGTGCGCCAGGTACTCGTAGTAGAAGCTCAGGATCTGGTCGTTCAGCCAGTGGGGTCCGTGGAGCAGCTGAACGTCGGACATCCGCAGGCAGCAGTCGTGGAAGGTCAGCGAGATGGGGTCCGCCTTAGAGTTGCTGCGCATCTTTGTGTGGTAGTTATTGTTGCTGAACCTGGGGCGCCGAGGATTCGTATTTTGGTTCTGGCGTGTATGTTGCCTGGAATAAAAATAAATGGCAAATAATTGCTTTAAATCATGTAATTGCGACTAGATTCGTGTAGTTCAAGCTGGAGACTGTCACCTCAGTATTTTTCTATCGTGGGGCATCATTTTCACTAACAATCCTCGCGAAAATTCGGCTGAAAGAACTTTTTCCGGAGAATAATACAACTCCAGCGTTTCAAAGTCAACGCACGAATGACGTTTTCGGTTTCCTTTTGCTTTCCCTTTCATTTGCCGGCCGGCCAGTACTGTTATTGTACTGGTTTCACAGCAATCAGAAATCGGTCATGCACAGCCCTTTTCAAGTGCACTTCATTCGTATTTTAAACCAAAACAAACACATTTTGAACACACTTTTCGAAAAAGCTGTTTTGTTATTGTCGTTGACAGCGAATGAGCGTAGCAAAACAAAAAGGAAGATACTGCGGGGGTGTTGGGATGGCGCTCAATTCCACGCATATGTATATTTTTTCACTCACCACGCAAAATGGCTTCTCCTCGATTTCGTGACCTCGCTTTTTGTCCGTGCTTTGGACACTTCTTGCGTATTACCATTTATTTGGCTGTTTGGGGGTAAATAACTTGAATTTACCAACTGATGATTTCACTGATTTATGAAGTTACAGACAGTTTTTCCGCTGAATTTATAGTCGCTGTACTCTACTCTTTGGTTCTCTCGCTTTCAGGCCTGGGCTGCCACATCGCTCACTAAATGTCTGGCAATGCTGAGTGCAAAATACAGTGTTGCCTAATGAGGCAAATTTACAGAGAAGTAATTTAAATATGTAAAAAATATATTTTTTAATCGTTCTAAAGAGTTTGCATATCTTTTTTTCTAACACTTAGCTGATGAATCATCTCGAAATGCCGTGATAAGCACATGTAACAAATGTTTGTTGAATTTATTAAATTCACATTTTTAACATTTCTTGCAGTCTGGCTTATAATTTTCGGGACAAACTTGTTTCTCGATTATGTTCAAATTCTCAGTGGGAGTTGGGCATTTAGTTTCTGAAGTCTCGCTGGATTCTGGAAATTGCGCACATCCTTCTGCAGAATTCCACGTACCCCCTCGCAACTGCTCGCCCAACCACTTAAGTTGCTTGTTTATCTAGAAAATTATATTTCTTTAACCTTTTTTCAGATGTGTACATATGTAAGAAAAATGATTGCCTTTTCTACCATCTCCTCATCCCGTTCGCTGGCAAATAAATCGGCTGTAAATTGGTATATATTTGATGGCTGTGCCTTAATCGCCTCGGCTGTAATGACACGAATTATGGCTCGAATCTCTGGATGGCGTTGCAAATATGTCCAATCGTCCTTGCGCAAGTTTCTGGAAATATTCTCAATCGTGTCATAAAATTTGGACACGTTTTCGTGTAAGTTTTGTGCATGACTCGTATTATTTTCCGTGTTTTCCGTTTCCTCAGCGCTTGATGTTTTTGTGATATCCATTTTCACTTTGCCAGAGAAAGGTATATTTTAAAATTTTAATTTTTTGAAGTATTTGGCTAATGGACTTAAAACTCAATGAGGTCTCAATTCTCAACATTTTGTACACAACCCAATAGATTACTCGCATGATAGGAGGGATATATAAATATAAAATATTTGCATTGTAATTAGGATGACAAAATAAATATTAAGGCATTAATCATATTTACCATGTGTTCATATAACTGGATATAAATGTGGTCATATAACTATTCTTTAAAATAATTAACCCAACTCCGTGACAATGCATATCGCAGCATTGCCGTGACCAGGATTCGAACCTGGGTTACCACGGCCACAACGTGGGGTCCTAACCACTAGACGATCACGGCTACGTCGGGTCGTCGGACGCGCTCTTCCAAGATCCCACCAGGTCACCTAATATAAAAAAATGTCGAATTAGAATGTAATTAGTAAACACAAAAAAAAGTAAAAAGAAAATAAAATATTTGGATATTAATATATTATTAAAAACTTTATGCTTAATAATTTAAAAAAGGTTATACAAAAATGAAAAGGTTAGTTAGCTTTAACTTAATTATTAGTATATCTAAATAATTACTATCCAAAATCTTAGAAAAAAAAAGAAAACCCGACTCCGTGACAATGTTTATTTCAACATTGCCGTGACCAGGATTCGAACCTGGGTTACCACGGCCACAACGTGGGGTCCTAACCACTAGACGATCACGGCTACGTCGGATGATGCAAGGTCATTGCCAAATGCTTATTTTTAGCGCCGTGCGCAGAAAATCACAGCAAATCAAAGTTCGCGCATACCAATTTGTGATTACGGAAATCGGAAATAAATTTAATTAAAGCAAAATGAGTTAGTAATGAATTGTCTTGAATAATGTTGAAGGGAGATCTTATTAATTTTGTCGTTTCTTACAAATACGTATCTATGTAACTATATACATGATAAGTTTATTTGGTTGTACCTGAGTGTGTCGGGCTACCAAAGCAGCTCCCCAATCATTTATTTCGTCTAATGGTTATACTTATACATTTAATGCCTATATACTCTTATAAGATAATAATACTACGGCTTTTTGGCCTTCACAACTACCTTGGTGGGCCCCTTCTGGCTGCTACTGGCTGGGGATGGAGCCCGGTAGGTTGAATTGGGATTTCCTCGGTCCCGACGCTGCTTGAGGCGCTCCTGGAACTGATTGCGGAGCGTATCCATGGACGTGTTGAGGGCGAAATTCATATCGGGCAGCTGATAGGTGGCCAGCAGGAAGTTGCAACGGACCCGTTCGTTGGCGATTCGCTTGATGAGCTCCTGCATCTCTTCGCTCCGTACCAGATTTCTGATGGCCACGTTCACCTTGTCCTGGGCGACCGTGGCTTCCTTCTCCATCTTGCGTTTCTTAGACGCTTTGGATCCACCGGCTCCTAGCTCGTCCACAGCAACTGACTCGAACTGGAGGTCAGCACTTATGCGTCTGGCGCCATGCTGGCTTTTTCTTGACCTCTGGCGTACAGTCTTACTGCATCCATCCGACGCAGTGCTCGTCGATGTGTTTGCCTGGCCCGAGGAGCATGGATATGCTAATTCAGGGTCAATTTTAGCTAACTTGGCTGATTTGACACCGACCTCGTGAATTGTCTTGTATTTTTCACCGGCACTTTGTTTCGGTGCCACTGTCTCTCCAACCTCGCTTGAATCGGAGTCTATTTCGATGGCCTTATAGCTCATTCTTCCCAATTGTTTTCTCCAAGCTACTGTAACTGTTATGAATTTAATGAACCATTTTAATTGAGGACAAACTTACTTTATTTCAACATTATCAGGCTGACTTTTTTGATATCGATAGAACGATAACGACCAAATAGTGCTGCATAACGAAATAGTTGGCTAGCGCCATCTAGTGCTTGAAGTTGTACACATATTTTTCAAATACTTTTTGTGGTGCAATTATTGAATTATTAGATAATCTTGATTAGCTATCGTTTTTCTTAACTGATTGCTCGCAGTAATTAGGATTTATTAGTTTTGTGTCGTTCTGCAACACTGTGCCTTAGATTTGGAATCTGGCTGGTCATGCCCTACACCCTGTTGTAGCCGTGATCGTCTAGTGGTTAGGACCCCACGTTGTGGCCGTGGTAACCCAGGTTCGAATCCTGGTCACGGCAATGTTGAAATAAACATTGTCACGGAAACGGGATTTTTTTTATATTTAAGTATATAAAATATATAGAGATAGAGAAATTATGAAAACTTATATTATTCAAATGATCTCGTTAAAAGTCTTAAGCTGGTGACTTGTAGATATTCTATTTTTATTAAAATGTATACTCTGAAGATTGACTAGAATGATTACGACCATTGAAATGATATTTTAAGGTAATCAACAAAAATGTATAAGGATGGATTATATTAGCGGCACAAATAGTGTTAACTGAAATTAGTGTTTCATGGAAAATGTTGTCAAGTTTGAATAATTTTACGCATGTGTGTTAAATATCGATGGTAATGGTAGCTTTAGTGAATGTACATATGTAGTTCGAAAAGTGAGAGGCACTCGGACACGCCTAGTGAAAGTGCTGGCTATTTCTAATTAATAAAAAATTAAATAAAAACTTGTTCTTTGTTAAAATAAAATTACTTTTGATTTACTGATAGGTCCAAAATTTTAAGAGAAGCGATAAATAAAACTAAAATCAAAACGGATTTGTTTTAAAATAGTAATTTGGCAGCCGTCAAACATCACCCGATGTAGCCGTGATCGTCTAGTGGTTAGGACCCCACGTTGTGGCCGTGGTAACCCAGGTTCGAATCCTGGTCACGGCAATGTTGAAATAAACATTGTCACGGAGTCGGGTTTTTTTTTTTTTTTTTAACTTTAAAACAATTTAAAAGATATTTATAAAATACTGTTATATTTTTATTGAAAACAATTTATTTGACTATGCATTGTTTTATTTTACACCTCGCTTACTTTGAAAGAATTATTTTAATCACTTTAGACCTAACTCTTTATTTAATTCATGATGACCATTAGGTGACCAGCTCGGATTTGGGAAAGCCTCATCCTACAACCCGACGTAGCCGTGATCGTCTAGTGGTTAGGACCCCACGTTGTGGCCGTGGTAACCCAGGTTCGAATCCTGGTCACGGCAATGCTGCGATATGCATTGTCACGGAGTTGGGTTATTTTGTTTTGCTTTATTGTAATGGCCGCCAACTAAAGGCTTTTTGAATTTTTCAAATTTATAAATTGCCAGAGTTTGATTTGTTTTATAGACTTTTAATTTTGATTATTTACAGTTTGCCTCTTTGCATAACATACAGAAGATATAATTATTTAATTAATATTAATTAAACTATTTGCATTACTAAAGCTTATAGGGGTTTCTGCCGGACTTTGAATCTGGATCTGTGATTTAGTGTTGTTTTTCGGTTAGCTTAATAAACACACGCCATGGCGGAATGTAGTTCTACTTTAGTTGGGGAGGCATAAATAACAAAAACAAATTGACACAATTTTATAGAATTAACTACGAGGAAAGCGCTTTTCTACAACACAGGGTACAAAATAAAACGGTCAGGTGGATTGAAATTTAAATTCACTTTTAACTCTCCTCCTCACTGCTGCCCATAGAGTAGTTCCGATCCGGGCGGTATGCTACTGGGGTCCACATTCACATTAAAGTAGTTGGCTGGCGTGGCAACAGCGGGAAATGCGGCGGCCATTCCTTGGGCCTGCTGTACCTGCTGCTGCTGATGATGCTGCTGCTGGGGATTCTGCTGCAATGTAAGGTTGTAGGGATTTTGCACGTATTCCTGATAGATATCCGCCGTTGGCCCAGTTCCACTCGTCGCCGCCTGGCTTTCGTAAACGGGTGCAAAGCTGTGCACAATGGATGCCTGCGGCATTTTGGGGAGCGAGGGGTACGCATTTCCGGCCAGCAAATGACTAATTGGCACATTGATGGCAGGATCGCTGGCTTGAGCTTGCAACTGTTGCTGCTGGGCCTGATACTGTTGATAGTACTGCTGGTAGAGCAGTTGTTGCTGCTGCTGCTGTTGCCCAAACTGTTCCGCAGTAGTGTCCGGTACCATGGGCACCTCAATGGCGTAGCTATTGTACGTATTATTGGTGGTTACAATGTTGGTCTGTTGCACTATTGGAGCCGGCTGCTCCGCTTCCAGCGGGCTGTGCGTCGGGGACGCGGTCGAGGCATGTACGGCAACAGCAGTTGCCTCATTTACCAAATCCGGCAATAATGCACTTGGTACCGGGTCTGTACCTGCAGGCTGCTGGGGCGGCACAATCATGGGCTGTCACAAACATGAAAAGTATTTAGTATATGTTTTGGGAAAGTATGGTTTTTTCTTCTAGAACCCACCTGAGCGAATACAAAGCTGGGCGGCTGTTGCAGTGCATCTGCCACGGGTGGCTGCAGTATAATGCTCCTCCTCGGGGACTCGACGGGAGAGCCCAGTAAGGGTGTAGCTGCCGGCGGAGTGGGCGCGCTCACTACTAACTCGTTGGAAACCTGGGTTTGCCTGGGTAGAATGGTCACCGCTGGTAACTGTTGCTGTGGAGCGGCAGCCACAGCTGCCAGAGGAGCTGGGTTCGTTAAGGTCTGAGCTCGCTTGCCTGCAAAATGTATCACATTTATTGTTATCATATTGATTTGTATAAAAATATAAAGGAATGCAGGCTAGGGACTTGAAAGGAAAAAGGAAAGGAAATATTCAATTCTTTTTGCCAACTTTCTTTAGCAACTTTAGCTTGGATCTTAGCTTGGCCCATGGTTTCTTGCGCTGCGTAGCTGGTAGGGTATCACTTTTGCCCGCTGTTACAGAGGAAATCTTTGGACTATAGCCATAAAGCGGCAGGGTCAAGGAATATTCAGTTGTGGCCGGAGAAGACGCAAATCTAATTTGCGTAAAGTCTAGCGAGATTGCTGGGGTAATTGAATCTGCTGGTAGGATAAGAGGTTAGGCCCATTCTACAAAACCGCGTTACACACCTTCATCGTGGAAAAGCTCATCCTTTAGGTTGGGCAAAAATTCACCAATGCGCCGCCAGGTTAGCTCCCAAAGAGCTTGCTGTAAGCTGCCATCCTGATTGTGGAACACCCGTACTGAGTGCATAACAAG